GTGGTGGTGATGGTGGTGTGGTGGTGGTGGTGGTGGTGATATTTGTGGGGGTGGTGGTGATATTGGTGGTGGTGGTGGTGGTGGTGGCGGTGGTGGTGGTGATATTTGTGGGGGTGGTGGTGATATTTGTGGGGGTGGTGGTGATATTGGTGGTGGTGGTGGTGGTGGTGGTGGTGGTGGTGGTGATATTGGTGGTGGTGGTGATATTGGTGGTGGTGGTGGTGGTGATATTGGTGGTGGTGGTGGTGATATTGGTGGTGGTGGTGGCGCTAGAGGTGCTAGAGGTGTGGTGGTGGTGGTGGTGGTGGTGGTGGTGGTGGTGGTGCTAGAGGTGCTAGAGGTGTGGTGGTGGTGCTAGAGGTGCGGTGGTGGTGGTGATGGTGTGGTAGTAGAGGTAATGCTGCTGCTGAAGTGGCTGGTGGTGCTGGTGATGCTCAGTGGTGGTGCTGTTGCTAGTGCTGCAGCTGCTGCTGTTCGTGCTGGTGGTGGTGGTGAAGCTGCTGGTGGTGCTGGTGAAGCTGCTGGTGGTGGTGGTGAAGCTGCTGTGACTGGTTGTGCTTGTGCTGGTAATGGTGGCACATTTTCGGCTTATCCACCCCTGAGGTAGATGCCTTGTTACTGTGGCCGCTTGCTACCTCGGCTCTTTGAGCTGTGCACATAGTGGACTTGCAGAAACCACACTATCCATTATGCTGAATATACAGTGATCACTCTGTTAGGCCTCTCTTGTAGGTACCGTTATTCGAAGAACCGTGCTCTCGTTTTGAAGCACTCGTTTGACGCACCCGTTCTGAGGCACTCGTTTTAAAGCACTCGTTTTGTAACTCCATCCCTGGTATGTTCTGAATGCAGTGAGTATGGCGTCAGTTAGAGGGACTGATCGACTGTGCTCTCTCTCTCTCTCTATCTATCTCTCTCTCTCCGTCTCTCTCTTTCTCTCCGCCTCTCTCTCTCTCTCTCTCTCTCTCTCTCTCTCTCTCCGTCTCTCTCTCTCTCTCTCTCTCTCTCTCTCTATCCATCTCTCTCTCCTTTCCCGCCTGCCGTTCAGGACTGAGCAATGCTTGTCTGGCGTCGCAGCATGGCTGCACCACCGCCAGTGGCACAGTGTGTGTTAGCACACTATCCGGTGGTGGTGGTGGTGGTGGGGGCTACGCCTGCCAATGCCCCGACGGTCAGCTGCCAACTCTGCAGGGCAACTGTGATGGTAGGTATCAGCAGGGCATCACGCATGTGTAGCATGACCCAGGGGTAGGGGAAGGTTGGGGGAGGGGGGGTCCCTGATTTGCCAACTCTGCAGGCCAACTGCGATGGTAGGTATCAGCAGGGCATCACGCGTGGATAGCATGACCGAGGGAAGGGGTTGGGAGGGGGGCTACCTTTTGTTCTTTTTCTTTTTACTGGGAAAACAGCCCTAGAAAGAGACATGTGTCGGAGACAAACACAAAACAAGACACAGGGGATGTGGGGACGACGTGCCGATGTACAGGGGATGTGGGGACGACGTGCCGATGTACAGGGGATGTGGGGACGACGTGCCGATGTACAGGGGATGTAGGGACGACGTGCCGATGTACAGGGGATGTAGGGACGACGTGCCGATGTACAGGGGATGTAGGGACGACGTGCCGATGTACAGGGGATGTAGGGACGACGTGCCGCTGTACAGGGAGCAACTCGACCCCTTGTACCATTTGCTAACTCTGCAGAGCAACTGTGATGGTAGGTATCGACAGGACATCATGCATTGGGTAGCATGACCCAGGGGTAGGGAAAGGTGGGGAGGGGAGGGGCTCCCTGATTTGCCAACTCTGCAGGGCAACTGTGATGGTAGGTACCAACAGGGCCTCAAGTATGGGTAGCATGACTCAGGGGTAAGAGGGGAAGGGCTCCCTGGTACCCGGCATGGACCAACTCTGCAGGGCAACTGTGACGGTAGGTATCAGCAGGGCACCACACATGGGTAGCATGACCCACGGGTAGGGTGTGGGTGGTGGGGCGGAGGGGGGGGGGGGGCTCCCTGGTACTTTGGGGCAAGTCTGCAGGGCAACTGTGCTGGTACCGGGTATCAGAAGGGCTCCACACATGGGTAGCATGCCCCAAGGTCCAAAGTCGGGAGTGCAGGGGGGGGGGGGGGCGCTCTCCTCTGCTGGAAAACTGTGCTGGTAGGCATCAGCAGGACCCTCAAGCATGGGTAGCATGACCCAGGGGAAAATAAGTGGAATGGGGCTGCCTGGTGCCCGTTCCTTGCGGAATTCTGTGGGGGGGGGGGGAGGGAGGGGAGACCCACAGGCCACAATACAAAAGACTGTGATCTTCCTTGTTTCAGGAACCTATAGTGTATAGCCAGATGTAGGCCAAGAGACTGATGAACTATTTTCAAGCTAATAGAATTCGTACTTTACTTGACGTTCATGTACAAAGAGAATAATGAGTGTGCGTGAGTGTGAGTGTGTGTGTGTGTGTGTGTGTGTGTGTGTGTGTGTGTGTGTGTGTGTGTGTGTGTGTGTGTGTGTGTGACTGTGACTGTGTGTGTGTGTGTGTGTGTGTGTGTGTGTGTGTGTGTGTGTGTCTGTCTGTATGTGTGTGTGTATAATTATGTATGTACATGTGTGTCTGTGTGTGTCTGTGTCTGTGTGTGTCCTAGTTCTGCCAATACTGAGGACGCCTGTGTCCGGCGTGAGCGTTACCACGGTGATGGAGAACACGGCAGTCATGCTGAACTGTTCCTTTTACGGCACGCTGCGCGGAGCGATCAGATGGCACGGCCCACAAGAGACCCTGCTGTCACAGATCAATGCCACACAGTTTGATACTCAGGTATGTTGTGGTGGGCATCTATGCCCCCTTTGGTTTGCTACAGTGCTGTCGGAGCGGAGAAGAACGGCCAGGCTAGAATTTCACCAAGCACAGCATACAAATGTATACACGTTGACCCAACTGGGCATAGACTGTAGTTCATGAAAAATAAGAACGGTCTAGGCGACCGACAGTACTATTACCGTAAAACGACAAACTTTCGCGGCGGCTAAATTTAGCGTTTTCGCAAACTAGACCAGTTAGCGGCGATTAATTTTTGCGATTTTTACCTTCCACTCAAAATCTTCAAGAATTTTATTTTACGAAGTCTTCGAGTGACATGATGGGACGCAGCGTGCACGAAGAATGAGAGAAAAAGATCAAAGAATGAATGTATCAATCAAGGAATCAAAGATAATCATAAGGTGAGTACTAGTACTGCAAGAAAGGATGGCGTTTTCGAAGAGGGATCATCGGAAGGCTTTCTCTTCGAACTGCTGAGCCACTGCGATACTCATGATACTAATGGAGATAAAATTCAGAAGACTTCTTCGAGCAGTACAACACTAAAATCTACGCAAGAGCAAGCTGGCCAAACACTCCAACAAGTTGAACAACACTCTCCACAACACCGAGACATTCTCCAGTCGATCGTTTTATTCTCTTCTGCAATTCTGGTTCAAGTCGCCGTACTCCAACGCTAGTGTTGGTACGTAACTTTCAACAGCTGCGCACTTTGGACTGTAGCCGTGGAAGCATCGATCAGCGCTAGTCCAGAGTCTGTGCAGTGCATGTACAGGCATGTGCACGATCGATCATCGACGCATCTCGTAGTACATGATTGTACAAATTTCTTATTCGCGTGTCAAACTTTCGCGATTCGGCCCTGCTCGCGAAAGTCGCGAAAGTTAATCTCTCGCGAAAGTTTGTCGTTTTACAGTATATAAACTAAAACTTCAACACCAACAAATACCATGCTTCTGTATGGCACACAGCAATAGAGAATAGTTTCATGTCTGTCATGTGATCGTACCGGGCAGCCATGCTGGTTTCCCAATCCAGTCAATCCGGGAACCTATGGGTCATACTGTAAAAGCCATTATTCCCGTAGCTATGCAGAAGACGTTACTTCAGTAACGTCTGGCGCTAGCCAGGGTCCACACAGCTTTAATTTGGTGTTTGTTTGTGTGTTTGTTTGTTTGTGTCACGCCTGGCGCTATCCGTATCTGACGGCAAAAAAGCATAGGATGTTATAAATTTTTCAATTCTCCTTTTTTTCAGGCATATCCTGGGATTCGAACCCGCACAATCGCCCTACATGCATTCCCCCCATACATTTCGCATTCATACCCATTCTTCCAAGTTGCTTTATGTTATTATCTTGCGTTTGAAAGCCCTATTTGAATATTGCGGGCAGCTGTATGTGGCCAGCTGTGTTTGATGGTACAGTACGGTACGGGAGACGGTGTCGTATTACCCTCGATCGTACCTGTCCCGTCCCTATCCCCTACCGTACCGTGCCATCAAAGACGGCTGGCCACAATGCATATTCAAATAGGGCTTTCAAATGCAAGATCACAATGTGAAACAACTTGGAAGAATTAGTATGTATGCGAAGTGTATCGGGGGATGCATGCAGGGCGCGCGATAGTGCGGGTTCGAATCCCAGGTTATGTCTTTAAAAAAAGGAATTTTTTAAAGAATTTATAACATCCCTATGCTTTTTTTTTTGTCTAGGTCATCAAGGCAAAAAAGCATAGCGTAGGGCCCTGAGCTTCCAAGCTCTCTCGTTCTAAAGAGGCGCATATATAACGATTTCCTAAAATTGACCAGTTTACGTGTACCAAAGGTAGCGATTCTCACTCATTCTCAACGCTCACTAGCAACAATACGTATCGATTTCTGTCTAACCTTTTTTTAGTTTAACGACAGATTTCTCGTCGTTAACTCGTGAGAATTAGCACTTCGTTATATATAAGGCTTTTATAGTATGCGATGTTGCTTCCACAATCCACGGCCCACAGGCCATGATCAGTTTCTACAATGTGTACATATGTAGTCACACACTCTGAACATAGCAACCCACACTCTCTGGAGGGTACCCCCCCCCCCCCTTCCCATTGTTCCATGGTTCCATGGTGTGACTTTTCTGTATCAGGAGTGGTTCCCTAACACTAGGAGTGTAGTAAATCAATGTTACTATGAGCCGCGGGATGCACAAGCCACGTGCACCGTGGAGTTTTCACCCTGGGAGAGTCGTCATGAGATATGTGTGTGCCTGTGTTTGTTTGTGTTGGTGCGTGTGTGTGTGTGTGTGTGTGTGCACGTGCATGCCTGTGTGTGTGTGTGTGTGTGTGTGTGTGTGTGTGTGTGTGTGTGTGTGTGTGTTCATGCATGTACGTACATGTACTGCATTCGTACTCTGGTCTCCAATGCACATGCATAGGTTGGAGATTCGCTGGCGATGTCCACGCTCAGTTGGGGTCAGGCCAGCGTGCACATGGAGGGTGCCTATCGTTGTACTTCTGCGAACAGTCGCGGGACGGTCACAGCTATTCAATACTTGAACGTCCAACTGGATACAAGCCACAGAGGTAAAGCCCATCTAAAACAATAAGCCCACTGCACATTGCCAAATATGGAAGGTATGAGTAATGCATGAGAGTATGCTGGGATCAGGAATGCACTGCTCAACACCCCACATGGCCATGCTCAGGTGTGGCTGTGTGGGGTATTATGTGAGTACGCAGGGATCAGCAATGCACTGTTCAACACCCCAGACGACCATGCCCAGGTGGCTGTGTGGGGTGTCCGTGGTACAAATTGTGTCATGACTCATTACGCAATGGGCTTATAGGACTTGAACGGGATGATATCACAAGTCACTAAATAACGACTTCTAGGTCAAACCGAATCCACCCTCATCGACAGTGGAGTGGATCCGGTTTGAAGTATATTAATACACACACACACACACACACACACACACACACACACACACACACACACACACACACACACACACACACACACACACACACACACACACACACACACACACACACATGGAAAAACGGTCGCAGGTGGTCGCTAAACCCAGAGGTTGCTTACATCAGGGTTTACTGCACTAGCATTTTGGACACATCATACATAGATGTTATCGGCGCATGCATGCACTGACAGTTCTACACAGACACTGTGGTACCTGGTTCTAAAGATCACCTGGCTTTAAAGACCGCTTTTGCTTGCACCGTGGGGTGGTCGCTTAAACCAGGTTTTACTATACCCAACTTCTTGCACTGCAACTGTGCTCTTCCCCTAACTGCCAACCTTTGCAAGCCGGAGATCGGGACAATGACATACCATACAATGACATACCATACAATGACATACCATACAATGACATACCATACAATGACATACCATACAATGACATACCATACAATGACATACCATACAATGACATACCATACAATGACATACCATACAATGACATACCATACAATGACATACCATACAATGACATACCATACAATGACATACCATACAATGACATACCATACAATGACATACCATACAACGACATACCATACAACGACATACCATACAACGACATACCATACAATGACATACCATACAATGACATACCATACAATGACATACCATACAATGACATACCATACAATGACATACCATACAATGACATACCATATAATGACATACCATATAATGACATACCATACAATGACATACCATACAATGACATACCATACAATGACATACCATACAATGACATACCATACAATGACATACCATACAATGACATACCATACAATGACATACCATACAATGACATACCATACAATGACATACCATACAATGACATACCATACAATGACATACCATACAATGACATACCATACAATGACATACCATACAATGACATACCATACAATGACATACCATATAATGACATACCATACAATGACATACCATACAATGACATACCATACAATGACATACCATACAATGACATACCATACAATGACATACCATACAATGACATACCATACAATGACATACCATACAATGACATACCATACAATGACATACCATACAATGACATACCATACAATGACATACCATATAATGACATACCATACAATGACATACCATACAATGACATACCATACAATGACATACCATACAATGACATACCATACAATGACATACCATACAATGACATACCATACAATGACATACCATACAATGACATACCATACAATGACATACCATACAATGACATACCATACAATGACATACCATATACTGACATACCATACAATGACATACCATACAATGACATACCATACAATGACATACCATACAATGACATACCATACAATGACATACCATACAATGACATACCATACAATGACATACCATACAATGACATACCATACAATGACATACCATACAATGACATACCATACAATGACATACCATACAATGACATACCATACAATGACATACCATACAATGACATACCATACAATGACATACCATACAATGACATACCATACAATGACATACCATACAATGACATACCATACAATGACATACCATACAATGACATACCATACAATGACATACCATACAATGACATACCATACAATGACATACCATACAATGACATACCATATAATGACATACCATATAATGACATACCATACAATGACATACCATACAATGACATACCATACAATGACATACCATACAATGACATACCATACAATGACATACCATACAATGACATACCATACAATGACATACCATACAATGACATACCATACAATGACATACCATACAATGACATACCATACAATGACATACCATACAATGACATACCATACAATGACATACCATACAATGACATACCATACAATGACATACCATACAATGACATACCATACAATGACATACCATACAATGACATACCATACGTATGAACATGATGTACTACTGTAGCTGTGAGGCATGAGACAAATGCACTTTTTGGGTGCCTATTCAGTAGCACCCTCGATATCGGGACAGTCCCGGCCAAATCGGGACAGTCCCGGCCAAATCGGGATGGTTGCGGGATGGTTGCAGGTACATGTACTCAACTAAAGCAGAAATATTCGTCTGGAATTTAATTTCGTCTTTTTCGTCCAAAGAGCTTTGGGACTAAATTAATGATAGCTTGCATGCCGTCCTACCGGTAGGACCCAAGTAATCGAGCTGCAAAAGTGCTTTTGGTTGAGAAATTTCTTGAAACAATTGTTGAGATGAGGTCTTTGTCAGGCAAAGTAATGGCGCAAAATGCAAGGCTATGTCCAGTGCATTGCGTATGCGCAATTGGATCGATTGTCAAAATGGCCGCACATAATCCTGTCGGTGCGCTAGCAACTCTGTCCAAAGTGAATTTTGACCATGGCACATCAATCGTGGTGAGGTCCTAATGTTTTTATTAGCTTGCCAAGGCAGTGGAATGCATAATTCCATACTCCGTTTCCATGGTTACCATGGGCTATTACCATGGAATTTTGTAGTATGTCTTGAGCGATCACGTCTAAAATGTGTGGACTCCTTCATTAGCCCCTGAGCAACAGTTTAGGGTCAAGTTTTAGGTCAATGTTAGAACAGAGGCCATGCAGCATGTCTGCGTATGATGGCCCTACCGGTAGGTCCTACCGGTAGGACCGAGGTCTATGCAAGCTTTCATTAAATGCCGGGCTACTGTCGATTTGCCCAGCTTTTCAATACACTCTTAAAAGGCCGATTCATACTTCATGTCGCGTACGGGAAGGCCATTGCGGGACCGTCGCACGATGACTTTCCCCGTACGCGAAATAGTTGAGCTCAGATCAACTTTTTCGCGACGCGTTTCCCGTACGCGAAATGAAGTATGAATCGGCCTTTATGATCCATGGACGAAATTTTCAACCAGACGATTTCCCTTTTTTTGGAGTTGGACGAAATTATCGACCGACGAAATGTTCTGCCTCTACGGTATGTCTAGCTGACTGAACTCTTCTGTTTGTGCTGCCTGCCTGTAGATGCGGACAGTTCCTCTTCTAGTTTTCTCAGTAGCGATCTTGCCCTGGCGTTAGGTGTGGCAGCGGGCGGTCTTATTCTCGTCTTGATGCTGGCATTCGTATACGCAGTACATCACTATCGTGAGAAGCTGAGAGAACTGCAGGATGGCAATGGTGTGGTCGCTGACGGACACGGTATGGGTGGAGTGGGGCGCAGCCGTTCCCAAGGTAGGTACCTCCTGTGTGTGTGGGGGGGGGGGGGAGGGGGAGGTGTGTGCGTGTTTGTGTGTGTGTGTGTGTGCACGTGCACGCGTGTGTGTGCACGCGCACACGTGTGTGTACATGTGCACATGTGTGTGTGTGCACGCGCACGCGTCTGTGTGTGTGTTTGTGTGTGTGTGTGTGTTGTGTGTGTGTGTGTGTGTGTGTGTGTGTCTGTATGTTGCGTGCACGCACACGCGTGTGTGTACACGTGTCTGTGTATGTGTTTGTGTGTGTGTGTGTCTGTATGTCTATATTATGTCTGTATGTGAAAAAGAAAAAAGAAAAGAGAAACAACAAAGACCAAAAAGTAGAGATTCGCTGGCCAGAAAAAATACACTTCATATAGACCAGGCAGAAAAGTGGCCTTCCATTCCTTCAGCCTTGCAAGTCATTGAATGGTGCAATCCCAGGAAAGTTTCTATGGCTTCTGGCGTAGCCTCCGAGGATGGACGTGAAAGTCAAAAGTCTGTCTGTCCATTTGTATGTATGTCCGATGTCTTTCTGTCTGTCTGCCTGTCTGTCTGTCTGCCAGTTAGTCTGTCTCTCTGTCCCTCCGTCCGTCCGTCTGTCTGTCTGTCCATCTGCCGTGATTGGCAGATAGGCGGACAACACAACAGTAGCAATACTTGACTCTTTGATACTGATAAATATATCAACGTTACCACAATAGTCTTCTTTGGAATGTGCTTTTGCCAAACTGTCTGTTTGTCTGCCTACCTGCCTGTCTGTCTGTCTGTCTGTCTGTCTGTCTGTCTGTCTGTCTGTCCGCCTGTCTGTCTGCCTGTCTGCCTGCCTGCTTGCCTGCCTGTCTGCCTGCCTGTCTGTCGGTATGTTTGTCTGCCTGTCTGTCGGTATGTTTGTCTGCTTGTCTGTCTGTCTGTCTGTCTGTCTGTCTGTCTGCCTGCCTGTCTGTATGTTCGAAGGTGCAACCGTGACGCGGACACTAAGCACGATGACATCATCCAGACAGGTGATGCCGCTGCTGACATCATCAGACAAGAGCACCGGTATTGGCGGAGGGGTTGTCGTCGAAGACCATTGCCACACCAACAGAGTGGCCTGCGGCACCATGGAGGACCGGTGCCTCCCCAACACGAGCACGTTCAACCGTACGTTGTCGCTATCGTCGGAACCCACGCGTCGAATCAGCGGTCTCCCGCTGCTCGAGCACCAGGACGTCGAGATGTCGCTGTCCGCGCAGACCTTCACCAGCCACAGCGACTCCAACAGCCGACAGGAGCTGATGAACGGCGCGGACAACGGCGCCGATTCGTTTCCGCACCAGACCGTCGTCAAGCCGGTGGACATGAAGCACCTGAAGGAGAAGCTGGACGCGTGTGTCGGCAACATGAAAGGAAAGCTCACCGACGCCGTGGTCGAGCCGAGAGCCGATGTTCAGAGCGCATCAGCCGCCGTCAAGAACGCCCATGGCGTGCCGTTGACGTCGACGTTTAGCCTGGGTCTGGATCAGTATAGTGTGCGTGGTGGCGGCGCTGCTAAGAGTCCCACCAGGGGAAAGAGGAGAAGTACGAACTCCGCCTGCAATGCCGTCACGGTGTCCGGCGGCAAGGTGGGAGCGGAGGCGAGTATGTCGCTGGCCACCTCCAGTCTCTCGTCATCGCCGCCGCGCCGCGACTTTGGCCTCGACATGCACATTTAAATCTGGTGTGCGTGTGTGTGTGCACGTGCATGTGCGTGTGTGTGCATGCGTATGCTTGCTCCGCCGCCTGCGGTCTTCGGCGGGTCCTGATGTAGAATGGCCGATCGTGAGCACGAGCGTGTGTGCATGCGTATACGTGTGTGCACATGCGTGCGTGTGTGCATGCGGGTCCTGATGTTATCCCGACAGCTGACCGTGAGCACGCGGTCATGTCATCATGTGTGTGTGTGTGTGTGTACATCGTGTACCGTAGTTCACAAGACCTATATGATGCACCGATGTCCACTTGTCACACTGAAGCGGTCACTGATACGCTGCCGGCATCCGATGGCTTATCGGCATTGTCTGTTTCCAGTTGCGGGTTCGTAGTCACATCGTCCGTGATCATCTGAGTGCAGCAGCTTTGCAAGTGCGGTTGCCGGATATTTGGATTGAAGTTGATGTGCCACACACCGGTGGTGTGCAGCCAGCAAACACCATTCATGTGCTGCAGACTGGCTGTGTTTGACATACATTGGCACCAGAGTGTGCAGCACGCGCATGTTTGTGTGTGTGTACGCGTGCACGTACGTGTGTGTGTGTGTGTGTGCGTGCGCGCACACGTGCGTGTGTTTCCACGTTAGTGCTTCTCAATGGGATGCGTGCAGTCTGCCTGCTTTTCATCTCACCAATCGGCCGCATGTTATTCAATTGACGTTGTCTGAAATGCGTACTTTGCCTTTGGTATCTGCCTAGCCTGTCTCATCCCATACTAACCTTTTCTCCATTCGCCATGGTGAACTGGTTGCCTTGACATTTTTTTTAATATTTGAAGTACATGTACATGCATGACTATGCCCTTGAATCACATAACTATAATTGATATTGATGCCCTTGATGTAACCATTATCACTGAACTGAGGCATTTGTGGAACTTTTTGTTATTTTTTTGTGGCTAAAATTTCATCCCCGATGGACGTGGAGGGGGGGGGGGGGGGGCTCTTGCCGCGGTGTACAGTAAAACCTGTGACTAACGACCACCCCTTGGGTGGGGCCAGAGAAAAGCGGTCTTTAGTGGTAGGTGGTCCTTAGTTAGAGGTTTGCACCACACAACCATATTATGTGAATGTGAGACCGTCCGTGCCTGTTGAAGTGTTCTGTAGTACCAGACTGGTCGCTAGTCATGGTGGTCTTTAGCTACAGGGTTTACTGTACTTAGCATCATCAAGTGCAGTACGGCACTGGAACACCCTGTGCTGATACCGTCAGACCTCGCTTATCTGGTCCTCTTTCATCCGGATCCCTCACCACCCGGAAGAAAATTGTTGGTTACCGATTTACAGCGTATGCCATGCACACATACAGTAGTGTGTGTTCGATTTTTTTTTATTTTTTTTTTTTACAATGATCACAGCTCACAGGCAAAGACAAAAAATTGCATAGTGGGAGCATAGTGATGGTGAGGCTTTTTGCCTGATTATCCGGTTCCCTCGCCTATCCGGTTACTTTTGTGGAAAAAGGATGTGTGCGGCTAAGCGAGGTCTGACTGTATAGTCTCACATTGCTTACGGTCCGCCGATACTGTACACCTGTGGTGTACACATACATGTACATGTGACCTGGGTAGCACCGGCATTGGCTTGGACCGGGCGGATGATACGCGGCGGCATCACCGATCACCCCATTTCCCCATACCAAGAGTAACCCCATTTTTGTACTCTTGCTCACACTAATCATGACAAGAGCCGCGGTTCATAACTCTTGCTAATACAGCAGCGGCTCACCTATTACCGGATCGACGGAAGCAGGTTTTGATCGGTCCGGCCATCAGTACCATGCACACCATCAGTACCATAGATAGAAGCCAGCCTCGAGGTATGTGATTGCCCAACCTTGTTCTTGGCCAAGGGAATCGAGTAGTAAAACACCTACTACTGCCCCGTACAAATGTATACTTGGTATACAGTCGACTCGTAAAAATGCAACTCCCGCCGCCCGTATACCAGAGTATCCAGGTGTCGCAGTTCCGCAGAGACTGCTTGTTCAATACACACCTCAGAGAGTGTCGCAGAGTGACTATAATGGAGCCTACGGTGTCAGTTTGCGGACGATTCATCGCTGTTCGCCAAAACCTACGGCGGTGCTGAAAGGGCCTTGGCCACGTTCCGGGGAGGCTGCAGCATCTTTTGGCCTGTCAGTCAATCTGGGCAAAACTAAGTTCATGGCTATGGGCGTTGGTGTGGTGGCGTCGGATATGTTGCCTTTGGGTGGAACCGTCGAATGCGTGGACAGCTTTCGCTATCTTGGCTGCCAGATCACTCCTGATGCTAGGAGTAGCTTTGATGTCCCTCGCAGGATCGCCGCAGCTTCGGGTGCATTTGGCGCCTTGAAGAAGGCTGTGTTTGCGAACTCCGAGTTTCCTATCGGTCTCAAGCGTGTTGTGTGCGGAGTCACTGTGTTGGCGGTACTCCTCTATGGTGCTGAGAACTGGACACCGAGGCAACGGGATCTCCAGCGTCTGGCGTCATTTCACTTGCGATCTATACGCATGGTCCTGGGCATCAGTCGGGCGCGCCAGATGGACGAGCACGTGACAACCCTTCAGGTACGGCAGTGGTGGGGAGACATGGAGGAAGTCTCTGACAAGGTCCGGCGCCGTCGTCTCCAATGGCTGGGCCACTTGGCTCGCATGGGTGACCGTATTCCCCGCCAACTGCTCTTTGGTGCCTTGCCATCTAAACGACCTCCACATGGCCCCCGGAAGAGGTGGAAAGACCCAGTCAAACATGACCTGGTTGCGGTGTCCATTGGCATGAATGAGTGGCTTGACACAGCAGATGATGATGATGAATTGATAGGTCTCACTCTGAGTGGAGAACCAGGTGTCAGGATGGAGTCTACAGCGTGTACAGGTGTATGCTCTCGTGTACAACCTGCCGTGAAGCCACCCTGTGTATGGTCTGCACACGCCGTTTCAGCCGTCCTCAAGACATCGCTAGACATAGTTTGTTTGCACCTCCCGTCGCTCCGCAAAAGCAAAAAACAAACAGTGCCGGAAACAGCCGTTCACGTCCCGCCGAAGACAGCACTCCTTCGAGTCGCCCCGTTTGGGGACACATATCCGCGCGCGTGGCAGTGGGCGAAGGAAGGAAGGGCCGGATACCCGAGAAAAAGAAAGAAAAAACTCCCGCCCGAGCCCCGTACCGTACAATAAACAGCGTCTTGCAAAGCCGCGAAGGCGTCGTGACGTCATAGCAAGGCAGTAGCTAGCTAGCTAGCTGTAGCAGTTTGGACTTTTGGACTTGGCTTGAGTTTGAGTTTCTTTTTGGAAAATTTGCTTGTTCTGATCAGCTAGCTCCTCAAATAATTCTCAATACTATCCACTTATTATCCAGGACTGCTTGACTTCTTCAGCCTGTGAAATTGCTTGTAGCGTTGTTGCTCAGCATTTGGAGGAGCCATGGCGTCCATTTGGTAAGTATCGTTTGTCTTGAAGATACAGTACGTTGTGATCCTCTTGCTGATACTGCGGAGGGCGCTGGTGATTTGCTAGGCGAGGAAGACCTCGGAATTACCACCGGGAGCGTCGAGATGCAGCGCTGGATCGCACAGTATGTGTGGACCACCCATTGGCCGCACCCACCGTAAGTTTGCTATCACGAGCTTTGCTTTGATTTCCGCCAAGAAGGAGCATGTCTGCAATTCTCAATTCACTTGCCTCTACGTACAGGCAGGACTGCATGAAGTCTTGCTTTTCATGTTTGATATTCTTACGTGAATTGAGAATTCTGGTGAAAACGTTTCAAATCTTTCTCGCGAATTTGCATTGAATGGCGTAGATAAGTACTCCGTGCCTTCAAAATTTCCTCTTCGACACCGCAATCCTACTAATATAATCCTTGGACAACGCGAAGGGCGAAGATTTGAATTTGAATCCTTTATAGAGAAATTAATTTATAAAGGATTCAAATTCGAATATAATTGTATTATCTTGGTGTGTGTGTGTGTGTGTGTGTGCGTGTGCGTGTGTGTGTGTCTTTTGAGTCTCTCTCCCTCTCCCGGGGAGACCCACGTGACCAGTTTTGGCAGTGAGCAACAAGTACAAGTGTGTGTGTGTGTGTGTGTGTGTGTGTGTGTGTGTGTGTGTGTGTGTGTGTGCGCGTGTGTTGATGTCTATGCGTGTGCTTGGGTAGGAGACTCTATTCACATGCATGGGTAGAAAGC